GGTCAGTTCTCAATTTCACAAAGATCAACAGGACTTAGTCTAGTTGTAACCTTAGAGTAATAGTGTTTCATATTTTAAAAATTTACATATTTATATTGTCTTGAGAAACAGGTGAACTCTAAATGTAATTTAAAGTGTAAATTAGACTTTCTGAATGGTTTGCATAAAGGTTGTTTTAAGATATGCTCCAAGCTCAATACAAAAGAATCAAAGGCAGGTAGCACTTATTCTGAGCAGTTTATGAAAGTCCATATCTCATGCACTCTTCCTGACAATCCTATAAATCCCATTGGAATCCCCATTTCATTGATGAGGAAACTGAGACAGAACAAGGATAAGTAACTTGTTGAAGGTCAAAAGGAGTAGCAGTATCAGGAGTTGAATCCAATACTGTTTGACCCCAGAAACCATGATCTTAATCACAGCACATATTGCCTCCAAATTCTTCCAGTTGACACAGAATTTAAGTCAAGAGAATGACTTTTTTAAAAAAGTTTTATAAATGTCACAATAATTAGGGAAGCATTATCTCCAGAGAATTTCCTTACCAATACTCAGTACTTATTATCAAAGGTAATCTTTAACTAACGGAGACGAAAATCTCGCAAGGATATAACAATATCCCATCCTGATTACTGTCATTGTATTTTTTTTTAAAACCTCAAATTAACACATAATCTGACAATATGAGAAGGAAACTGTGAATAACGGGTTAGTATTTTGAAATCAGGACTTCCCTAAAAAATCTAGGATAACAGCTGTCATATCCATAATACCACTTATGACAAATTTCAAGGCTCAGGCTGAGGAAAAGTTCAATTTCTATGTTACAAAATTGCTTTGCCAACAATTACATTTTTATGACATTGGATAATAAAAGGATTATCTCTCAACTCTACTAAATCATTTTAAGGAGAAGGGGGAACAAAGGAAACATAGCTCTAGATGATTCTACAGAGGATCTTGGTCTTAAAAACCTAAAAATCCCAACCCACTAAAACGTCTGTGCTAGTTCACAAAGGTGTTAAGCAGTATTAGCAATTTAACCATAGCAATTAAACGGTTACCAGTGACATAAGAAATCCTACATAGCCAGAAGACCACTGACTGAATAGCCTAAGGGAGAAAGCATGCTTTTAGTTAGAATATGCCACCTGTGAAATTCTTCTCGAACCTCCTTCCCATCAGAGACCACATTCATTTTATCACTAAAATTTCCAGAGTGAGGGTGAGACTGTCAAAATATTACATAAGTATATGAAATGAAATAATCTAATCGGTCTATACCGTAATAACTATCAAGCATTACTGCTGTTGGGCTACAACAGAATCACTGAAAATCACTGTTTACGTCTTGAAGCAAAGAACCTAATCACTACATGTTATTTTCATGAGGCCCAAAGACTAATCCATAACCGTAACTGTCAAATTCCACCTTATTAAATGTAGAAAGCTTTCCAAAATAAATCTTGCAACAATGGATAAAAGCACGCATCATACAAAAGTTACTGAATGTTTATGGAACACATACCAACTTTTAAAATAGTGAGCTGCAGGGGGAGGGGAGGATGTAGATGAGCATGTTTTAAGTAAGTCAATTTCAAAGGGGGCATTAATGGAGAGCCACATAATTTCCATAGCATTTGTTTTTGGAACGCACATGAATTACATTTTAGTAAAATCAGTTGCCGTCAGTCAATTCCGGCTCATAGGGACCCTATGGGACAGAGTAGAACTACCCTACAGGGTTTCAAAGGAGCAGCTGGTAGATTCGAACTGCCAACCTTTTGGTTAGCAGCCGACCTCTGAACCACTGCATGGCCAGGGCTATTGTCAGTGTTCATAACACCTCAAATAAATTAATGAAGGTATGACTTGAGAACAGTTGGAAAGCTATCTAGTCCTCCCATCTTTAAAAAGGAATTAAGTAAGTAGGACTTTATTATGCTAGAGGACGTAAAGATTATTTCATGGCTTAATACAAATCTTGTTTTTCACTTTTTTTTGTGAAGAGTCGCCTTTAAATTTAACTAAACTATAAAGAGCGTCAAATCACCATTTCTCAAAGCAATTACTGTAAGTAAAATGCACTGTACCAGCAAGAAGACAGAATTCTGCAATAAGTGGTTTTCAGTACTCTAGACAGCGCCCATTATAGAGCTTCATTTATTAAGCACTTCTTGGATAACACCCAATTGTCAAGCCCTCCTCCACTGCTTTTTAGAAAGCATAATACAAAAAAAAACCCAAAACAAAACAAAACAAAACAAAAAACCCTTTCTATAGCTAGAGATTGGCATCTCTACTACTGTCAGCCCTATTCAAAGCAATTATCAAAAGGCAAAAAGCATTTCCTCCGTATTTAAACAAGGTGTTTAAAACAATCACAAGGATCAACAATTTGTAACCCACAAGCCTCTGAAACTCATCCAGTGATCCTTGGGACTCTATAATACAGTCTATTCTCAACACAGCAGACAGGGTGATTCTTTATAAAGAAAAGCAGGTCATGTCATTCCTCTCCTCAAAAGGCTTCCCATTTCACTCTAAGTAAAAAACAAACATCTTTTCAATGGCCTATAAAGTCCTACATAATCCATTACCCTGCCCCAATTATCTCTTTGTAACATCTACTTCTCTCCCCAGTTCTCACTTGGCTCTGCACCGGCCTCTTTGCTCCAGCCAGACAGGACTCATTGCAGCACCTCCACTACAGCATCGTCTTCTGCCTCAGGACCTTTGCACTGCTGTCCCCTCTGCCTGGAATACCCCATGCCCCAAGATATCCACTTGTCTAATTCCTCTCCTTCAAATTCTGCCCAAAATTCATCTTCTCAATGAGGCCTATCCTTACCACCCCATTTTAAATTGCATCTTACCCTCTGCCCTTGCACTCCTAATTTCCCTTACCTGCTCTACTTTTTCTTTGTGTCTGTATAGCAATTATTACCTGCTAACATACTATACAGGAGTCCCTGGGTAGTGCAAACAGTTAAGCGTTCTGCTACTAACCATAAAGTTGGCGGTTCAAACCCACCCAGGGGCACCTTGGAAGAAAGTCTTGGCGACTGGCTTCTGAAAGGTTACGGCCTTGAAAACCCTATGGTGTACAGTCCTACTCTGCAACACATGGGACCACCAAGAGTCGGAACTGATTCGACGGTCAACTGCTTATTTTGTTTTTTTGTCTTTAACATACTACATAACTTCCTTTTTTATTATGCTCATTGTTTATTATGATTTACTAGTACAATGTTCAAGGAGGACACGTGTATTTTTTGTTCCCTCAAGTATCTAAACCACCTAGAACAGGGTCTGGCACATAGTAGGCACTCAATTATTACTGAATTGAATTGGATGATCCAGGACAATTCATCTAGCACTACTAGTAAGACCAAGCAAGGGTAGATCTTACTGAAATACACATGCCGAAGATTTTATCTGGTAAGCAGACCAGAGTGTTCTAACAGAGGAGGCAGAAGTACCATTCAACAGCCAGGTAGGCATATTAGCATGCTTATTTCAGAACAAACTATTCTCCTTACTTGAAGAAAAAGATTACTAAAAGGTGCCCTCTACATAACCTGTATCACCCAAACTAGACTGAATATTCTACCACATGGTCTATGTTACAGGATAAAAACAAAAAAGTTACTCAAAAGAGACAGCACTGGGCATGTTATCAGACAACCAGATCATCAGTCAGTCACAAACAGTGACAGCATAAGGTCATTCATTCAATCACTCCATCAACAAATATTTATTGTTGAGCACTGGGGATTTGGCCGTGGAAAAGACACACAGAATTTAGATGAAAGGAAGGCATACACCAATATTTAATCATAATAGAGCATTGCTGGGGCTATAAAACGGGACATCAAGACGC